CTTTCTTTCATTACCCTTGATATTAAGGAACAGTTGATAAGAAAAATGTATAAATTAGAGATTTTGAAGTTATTTTCTGACAACATTTGCATCTTGGCACTTGATTTCACTCTTGTGAAATTCAAAAGGCAGGTTGTTATATACCGGTATAGTTTTTTTTATATAAATAGTGGATATTTAATGTTTTGTACTTGAATAATTATGTAATTTATGTCACGGTTTTTTCTACAGTGGGGTAGGATTATTTGATATTTTCACGAGTGCGAAGTATGAAAAAAATCCTGTCTCACGAGTGTAATAAATTCCATATTTATCTACAAAACATTGAATTTTCTGTTTATTACATTTTCTTTGATTTTCCCTTTGCCTATATCTTTTTGTAATGCAGTCTAAAGCTACATAAGGCTCATAATTGAGCGGTTGAGACGTCATAGCTAAGTGAAAAACTTTGTAAACATGAATTTCAGCAACTTATTTGGGGAACTTTCGCAGTTTTATTTTATGACAAAATGGTTTATGAACTCGTTTTCTGTCTTATGACAAATAAAAGAGTAATTTGACAACATACATGGTAAAGGGAAGGAAAATCGATAGATTTCCAGCACTTCTGATATCCTTTCACACCGTGACAGGATATCACTTTTATTCAATGGATAAATTACAGTATTTTATTGTAAAAAATTTAATAAAAAGACATATGTCTTCTCAAGACATAGCAAGAACAAAGTAAAATTCATTTGACTATTGCTACATTGGGAAAAAAACGAAACTGTTAAAATCAGATATACCGAGGCGTCCACACTTAACATGCTTTTATAGTCCGACTCTGACTGCATTGAATAGAGAGAGGATCCAAACTTGGCGCTGTCAAAGAAAAAAATATATTTGTCTTTTAATAAATCGATTTTATTTGGAAATTGAAATGTAATTACTTTATAATGTAAATAATACTCCCGATCGTCAGTGTTCTCAATAATTTCTGTTTTGTTTTGGGTTTATTCCAATTTGTATCAGACAAAGCACTTACATGTAAAAAATCGAGAAATAACATACCACATGTAAAGGGATAAATAAATGAATTAATCAATCAATACCTTGATTCTGCAATGACATCAACATTATCTGGAATCCGATATTCTCCGTCTGCTGTAAACTTGTGGGTGTAGGGTAATTCCATTATCGGCAGGCGAAATCCTTGATCCACCACTCCGTCTTCACTTAGGGGATTCCCCTTGAATAAATCATAACCACGACCTATGTAACCCAAATTGTAGCGCGATGTTGTGGCAATAAATGGAGTCTGGGCTTCATGAAATGCTCTGAATGCTACAGTAGAAAGATATTTTTTGTTATCAATTACTTGCACGTAAATATTCTTGATATTAAAAATACTTGAGTTAAATCTATAGATAGTTCTAACTCTTCAGACTAAAAATTGAATTGATTTTCTTCTATTCATCAAACGTCCTTCAAACTAATGACATGTCAAATGCTTAAAACTAGATTATGCAAAAAAAAACAACATTTTAGTCATGGTTATATTTTGCGTAAAATTTGTAAGATTAAATTAGTGTAATCAAGTAGATTTTCAATTTTCATTCAAAGTTTTAATGTAATGTGTCAACGTGTCACGAATATTGTTTTTTTAATGTGACAAAATGTTGATGTATAGATTAATAGGGATGGTTGCAGAAAGTTTGGAAATTAAACACTCTAGAAAATATAGGGTCTTATAAACCAAAAAAAACAACCTTTTGCTTCTCTTTGATCCGCTTCTTGGGCCTCAGCAGAAGCCAATTTCTCGGGAAGTCTTGCGTGAATACTCGCATTCATCATTGTTGTTGACAGCTGCAATTGCTGGAAACGAAATCCACTCACCAACTCTTCCAAAGACACTGAAATTTATTTCAAAATCATTTCAACATGCATGAACTTATATGTGTAACTCCATGAGATTTCATTTAAAACTTTTTCCAATATATGAGGAAGAAAATTGACCAGTTTGAAAAAGAACTCAGTAACAAATATAAGATAGCATTTATGAAACAATTTAAATTGTTACATTTTCGACAAATTTTATTATTTTCGGATTTTTTTTTTCAGTTTCAGTTTCTTTACTTACAGTAGGAAAAGTATTCAAAATAAAACATTTTCCAATTGCATGATATACACTGTACGTGATAAATGGTTAATTTTAGCACTTGAGAAACTGGGATACAATTTACCAAAAATCAACAACCAATAATTCGACATTTATGTATATTACATCTGCATGTTGCATATATTTGGGCTTACGTTGAAAAAGTATGACCAATTATTCTAAACATCTTATTTATTATAGTTAACCTAGTAATTTGTCTCAGCACATTTTCGCTAGGCAATGATTTCAATCCGAAATCGACTTTAGTTCGGATCTACTCTAGAGTAAATTTCGGATCGGATTCCCTCGGCTAGCGAAGATGGGGAGGCAAAGTGCAAAAGATTTTTTTATTAGATATCGAACAGACGCTATAAATTTATTAGTACTATAACAGTTGTTAAGCTCCATCATGTCAAAATTTAAATATTACATAGACACAAATATCATATTTCCTTTTACAGAAAACAAGTGAAATGATTTTTTTTTTAAAATCAAAGCAATCAAGGAAGTTTAGTGTACTGATTTGCTGATATTGTTATTATTTCGACTAAAAACTTGCAAAAATAATGAAAACTAGAGCAAAGCTCGTTGCAAAGCAACGAGTAGGTCTTCCGTCATGTTTGACTGGAAGTGGTTTTCATTTTTAACAAAAATGAGAAATAACGACCAAAAATGGTTTGATTCCTCTAAATCCATGTTAATTATTTAAAAAAATAAGCCATTTTCTGTTACTTCCGGTTTGACCGGAAGTGACCACGACGGACGGAAAATTAATTTTAATGCTCCCAGAGACATATGTTACCAAAAAACTTGTCAAGAACGGCAAAAATATGCGTTTTCCGACTACTTCCGGTTTGACCGGAAGTGACGACGCCGGACGTATTTTGACGACTTGAATAGATTAAGCTTGACATTTTGATTAACTTTGCTTCTTTGACATATCACAAATTCTCAATACTTTTTGAGATATAAAAGAAAAACTTTCGTTCCCTCCAGGCCCCTGATTTAAGGGGCCAGCCCTTTTTTTGAGATGTCATTTGAAAGATCTTAAATTTTACACCTTTTTTGTTCTACATGCTTTAACAAAATACTTCTAGGTAAAAAGTTATCGTTGAATAGGTGCTTAAAATTTTGAAATTCTTGATAGGACTATTTTCGGGCCATAGCGAGCGTCGGCGCTTCGTTTTTCCGGTAGTTGTGATATACTTAGTGCACTTCTCCAAAAGTTGCTCTAGCATCACTGAAAATTTCAAGCTTCTGTGTTAAGTGCTTTTTGAGAAAACTGTCGGACAAAGTGACCCTTTAAAAATCACTAAATCGCAGAAAAATCCGAACTGGAAGTGATGTCATCAAAATAAAAAAATATATATCTAGATTTTTTGATGTTCTATCAGACCTGAAAGTTTCCTGAAAATCGATCGAGCCGTTCTCGAGAAATCGCGCACATAAAATCGGTAAGAAAAAAACCCAGTAATAACTAGAGCCGAGCTCGTTGCAAAGCAACGAGTAGGTCTTCCGTCTTGGTTGACCGGAAGTAACTTTTTTTTAAGAAAAAAAGACAAATGAAGTCCAAAAATGGTTTCATCCTCCAAATTTATGTTTATTATTGCAAAATTAAGCCATTTTTGGCAACTTTCGGTCCAACCGGAAGTACCCTCGACGGACAGAAAATTAAAATTTAAACTTCCAGTGACATATGATATCCAAAGACCTGTCAAGAACAGCAGAAATATGCAATTTTTGACTACTTCCGCTTTGAACGAAAGTGACGTCGCCGGACGTATTTCGACGACCCTATTTGATAAAGCTTGACATTTTGTACAACTTTGCTTCTTTGATGTATTACAAATTCTCAATACTTTTTGAGATATAAAGGAAATACTTTTGGCCCCTCTAGGCCCTTCATTTTAGGGGTCAGCCCTTTTTTCGAGATATCATTTGAAAGATCGTGTAATTCTACACTTCTTTTGTTCTACATGTCTTAACAAAATATTTCTAGGTAAAAAGTTATCTTTGAAAAGGTGTCAAAAATTTTGAAATTCTTGATAGGACTATTTTCGCGCCATATCGAGCGTCGGCGCTTCGTACTTCCGGTAAAAATGATATACTGAATTCACTTCTCCAAAGGTTGCTCTATCATCACTGAACATTTCATACTTCTATCTTCAACGGTTTTTGAGAACATTGCCGGACAACGTGACCCTCTTAAAATGACAAAATCGCGAAAATCTCCGAACCGGAAGTGACGTCATCAAAATAAAAAATTTAATTTCTAGATTTTTTGATGTTCTATCAGACCTGAAAGTTTCATGAAATTCCATCGGGCCGTTTCCGAGAACTCGCGTGCACAAAATCGGTAAGAAAAAAAATAATAAGAAAAATAGTGGAAAAGAAACCTAAGAAAAACAATAAGATCTTCCGCTGAAGACGGAAGACCTTCAAAATAGTGGAAAAGAAACCTAAGAAAAACAACTAGAGCAGAGCTCGTTGCAAAGCAACGAGTAGGTCTTCCGTCCCGTTTTGACCAGAGGTGCCGGAAGTGACGTGAACAAAAGAAAGCAATGAGCTAAGTAGTTTCTAGTGACTTTATAATTTCAATTTTGCATTAAAACCTTCAAAATAAGCTATTTTTGGCTACTTCCGGTTTGAACGGAAGTGACGTCGACGGACAGAAAATTAAGATTTAAGCTTCCAGTGACATATGTAACCCAAAAACCTGTCAAGAACGGGAAAAATATGCAATTTTTGACTTCTTCCGGTTTGACTGGAAGTGACGTCGCCGGACGTATTTTGACGACTCCATTAGATAAATTTTGACATTTTGAACAACTTTGCTTCTTTGACGTATTACAAATTCTCAATACTTTTTTAGATATAAAGGAAAAACTTTTGGCCCTTTTTGGCCCTTTATTATAGGGGCCAGCCCCTTATTGTTGATATTTTTCGAAAGATCGGGACGTTCTCAACAACTTTTGTTCAATATGTCTTTACAAATTGTTAACATGTAAAAAGATATTGCAGAAAAGGTGTTAAAAATTTCTGAGTCCCTGGTAGAACTTTTTTCGAGCCATAGCAAGCGCCGACGTGCGGCACTTCCGGAGAAAGAGAATGGTGTGTGACAAAAGAGCACACCTTGCTCTATCATCGCTGAAAATCTTATGTTTCTGTCTTAAGGCATTTTTGAGAAAAATGATGGACAATGAGACCCCCAGAAAATCACTAAATAGCAGAAATCTCAAAACCGGAAGTGACGTCATCAAAACAAAAAAATATATATATCAGGTTTGTTTGATGATCTATCAGTCCTGAAAGTTTCATCAAAATCGAACGAGCCCTTTCCCAGAAATCGTGCACACAAAATCGGTAAGAAAAAAAAAACAATGATAATAATAATAATTAATAATAAAACGAGAAAAATGATGGACAATGAGACCCCCTGAAAATCACTAAATCGCGGAAATCTAAAAACCGGAAGTGACGTCATAAAAACAAGAAATTATATATCAGGTTTGTTTGATGTTCTATCAGTCCTGAAAGTTTCATGAAAATCTATCCAGCCGTTTTCGAGAAATCGCGTGCACAAAATCGGTAAGAAAAAAAAACAATAATAATAATAATAATAAAAATAGTGGAAAAGAAACCTAAGAATAACAAGAAGGTCTTCCGCTGAAGACGGAAGACCTTAAATAGTGGAAAAGTAAGAATAACAAGAAGGTCTTCCGCTGAAGACGGAAGGCCTTAATAAGGTCTTCCGCTGAAGACGGAAGACCTTAACAAGTAAAATTAATGTTGCTCTTCTTTTGTGACTTTGTTTGGCAATAATTTATCACGTTTTAAAAATTATTTATATGTAGATCAATCTTTTGCATATTGTATTTACTTAGAAACATTACCCCTATCTATGCAGGTTATAATGGAACATTCAATTTTCTAGTCAAGAAATTTTTTTTTTGAAATTGAAAAGCTTTCATTCTTGAAACCAAACATTTATTTCTTCTAGATAGCTCAATTAGAAATATTCGTCTTACTATTTCTTCAAATAATATTTTTCCTATTTTTTTAGGGGAAGGGGGGGGGGGGAGTTGATGACGCTTTGCTTGAGAAAAGATAGCGCACTTCTCATTCTTCCATGTGAAAAGAACACCTACATGCATCACTAACAAACAATCAGAATTCGGGTTATGTGTAAAGTAGGAGATGCTTCAACTCTTACCCTTCTATTCCATAACAATACCAGTACGTGAAGCGTAAGGTAATACTTAACTGAGAAACTCTTACGAGGATCTCACAGAAATAAATGCTTAATGTTAAAAGGAGAAAATACCAGTTGAATACAGATCTTGTCTACGCCGAGAAAAATAGATGTTATTTATTACATAAAAGTTTCTCTTATGTAATAAATAACATCTAATTCATTCAGCAGATTCCATTTCGATTATTTTTCAAGTAAGAAATATAACTCAGAGAAAAACTGAAGAATTTGACACTGGTTGTTATAATGCTATCTATGTCAAGCCCTTTTTTCTCTTTCAATCTTTTTTTTTTTGGGGGAGGGGGGGGAGAGAATCAAGTTGCAAAGTGCAGCATGAAGTACACAACTGTATTCGTCTTAAATAATAAAGAGAAGAAAAAACATTCCAATTCGTAGCAAAATTGCATATATGCAATTAACGTGTTCTGTTCGTTTTTATACAGATCATGTATATCCAATGCACGAATTATAAGTCGAAAATGTTGAATTGGCTATAAATATAATTAAGCACGACACATATAACTTGCATGAACTAAGTTGAGATAGCTATCATTTGATTAAGCATAATTTAATACTTTATGATATTTAGAGAAAGAGAATAATACATACTGATATGGAAAACTAATTATCTGTTTCAAAATTTTACCTAATGCTTTTGGTTAAAAGGGCATATTAGATACGTGTATGTTAATTCACCTTTGTAAATGAAAATTTTCAGCAACCGATTATTATTATGATAATTTACATCAGGAAATTTTTAAATGAGGGGCAATTAAAAATATTAATGTCAATATAGACAAAAAACTTACGAGATGCATAACTAGTATTGATTGCCTGCAAAGTTACGTTGTCTAAAGCTCCCATGAAAATAAAAATAGGAATTATGTACTTGCAAGTCATCGTTGTATTGAAGCCAGAGTCAGGAGACTAAATAAAATTTACAAACAGGGGATTTGTATTTTATATGTCGATTCGTAACATTACGGAAAACAGTGATTAGCTTCCGGTTTCATCCCTATGTGAACATCTATATCAATTCACGATATTTAAGATTTGTTCTAAATGGGCTTCTATATATACCACTTGATTAAACAGTATTATAAAATAATTTTGCAATATTTGTCTCAAATATTTGACATATAGTCAAACCATTTTGTTGGTTTGTGGAAAATATGCAAAAACAAGATAATCTCAGTTAAAGAGAGATTTATCATGATTCAACATTGTGTACATTACAGATGTGCATTTGATGCTATGGGATAATGCGATTGGTTCGATCTATGATCAAGAAAATATAGAATTTTTAAAAGTCATTCATATGAAATATGTGGAGATAACGAATAGTATTCTACATTGTAGCTCAAAAGTCATAATACATTACAAAAAAGAGCGAAGCAAATACGGACCTCCAAAGCATCAATGGTGAGATCATGGGTTATGAGGAGTGAGCATCTCCTATCGAACAGGCACACTCGACGTGTACTCCTTGATCGGGAAGAAGTCGTTGGCAATTCAATGTGTACATGTACATAATGGAATAAGAATCATTGTGAAAAACGTCAGTCAGCATTTGACTAATAAACTGTGAGATTAATAAAATTACAATAACAAGTAATTGAAAAAGAATTCGTTTAAAAATAACACACATTTGCCAGAAAAAAGTAAAGAATTACAATTTATTTTTACGACTTTTTATAAAAAAATTTCCTGCTTCACATTTTAATGGGATTGATTTTTTTTCCTGTGGATGAGGGATCGAAAAACGTGTAATTCCTCATCTAATTTAAGACTGAATTGCTGGATATTCCTAAGGCAACGTTAACATTACGATAGAAACAAATTTAAATTTCGTTGTTACAAACAAACAAAATTGCCATTTCAAGCTTTCAGTTTAGTTTAGCTCAAACCGTACAACATGGTACATGAGGAAGATAAAACATAAAAATTATCTTTAGGTTTTAAGAATATACACGTTCTGCTTGAAAAAAGATAATAAACATATATAAATATTACTTATCATATACATAATTTGATGTCATGAGATATTTGAAAAAAAAAATACATTTATAATTATTTTATATTTCAATGTTTTTAACACTGTTAATTATTCGGAGAAAATGAAAATAGAGAATGCAAGACATTGCTATTAAAGTCAATAATATATTTAAACAAAAAAGGGAATTGGGAATCATTAAATAAAAAACAACCGTATATCAACAAAAATATGTTATTCTTGTTTTTTAAACCATTACAGATTTTATTATTTTCATAATACAATTTCCATAATCATTGGTAGCTTAACACGAAAGATTAGACAATCACTTAACCCTTACTTATCTACATAGGAAGGCATATTCTGCTGAACATATAATAGCAACACTTGAATGTGATAATGTATATTTATCCTATTATCATAACAAAAATTGCATAAAAATAAATAAATAACAGAAATTTCTGTGTGAGAGAAACGAGAGGACATTCACTTCCTACTATCATAACAAGAACTGCTTAAAAATAGAAACAAATTAGTGTGTGAGAGAAACGAGAGGACACGAGGGGATCGATATTTCCTAGTATCGGATAAAAATAGTCAAAGATGCTGAGTGAACCTATCACCTGAGAAATGCGGTGAGAGTGGTTGCATGGGGGTGATGAAACATGATTTCGTCAGGTCATTTTGGTCATAGGGAAAGGGACAGCCAATCCTACGTAACAGGCGAAAGGTCAACCATTGGAATAAATTATCAACAAAATGATAAAAAGTTAAGATTTTGCAAGAAGTTTAATATAAATTTTAAATGCGCGTATTGCGACATTTTATGTCCTCAGTATAATAATATGTACCTAGTAACATGTTGTTCGCAAAGGGTTCATTATCAGTGTAAAGACTACGATAGAAGTGGTGTATATTGTTTGCACTGTAATGCAAATTTTGATAAGTACTATGTAAAATCATATGACCTTAAGGAAAGGTTTTGTAAATACAAGCCCAATCTAAAATATGCGCTATTGATGGATGCCTTTTTGCATACTCATCCGAGTCACTACAAAGAGCCCAAGGACATTGTAGATAATTTTAAATTCCTCAGTTCTTCATTACTAACAAAAACAGGTTTTTAGGATGGTTCATATTAAATCTTGAGGACAACATTTTTAGTAAATGGGGGGTATTTATCATAACAAAAATTGCATAAAAATAAAAAAAAATAACAGAAATTTGTGTGTGAGAGAAACGAGAGGACATTCACTTCCTACTATCATTACAAGAACTGCTTAAAAATAGAAACAAATTAGTGTGTGAGAGAAACGAGAGGACACGAGGGGATCGATATTTCCTAGTATCAGATAAAAATAGTCAAAGATGCTGAGTGAACCTATCACCTGAGAAATGCGGTGAGAGTGGTTGCATGAGGGTGATGAAACATGATTTCGTCAGGTCATTTTTGGTCATAGGGAAAGGGACAGCCAATCCTACGTAACAGGCAAAAGGTCAACCATTGGAATAAATTATCAACAAAATGATAAAAAGTTAAGATTTTGCAAGAAGTTTAATATAAATTTTAAATGCGCGTATTGCGATATTTTATGTCCTCAGTATAATAATATGTACCTAGTAACATGTTGTTCGCAAAGGGTTCATTATCAGTGTAAAGACTACGTTAGAAGTGGTGTATATTGTTTGCACTGTAATGCAAATTTTGATAAGTACTATGTAAAATCATATGACCTTAAGGAAAGGTTTTGTAAATACAAGCCCAATCTAAAATATGCGCTATTGATGGATGCCTTTTTGCATACTCATCCGAGTCACTGCAAAGAGCCCAAGGACATTGTAGATAATTTTAAATTCCTCAGTTCTTCATTACTAACAAAAACAGGTTTTTAGGATGGTTCATATTAAATCTTGAGGACAACATTTTTAGTAAATGGGGGGTATTTATCATAACAAAAATTGCATAAAAATAAAAAAAATAACAGAAATTTGTGTGTGAGAGAAACGAGAGGACATTCACTTCCTGCTATCATTACAAGAACTGCTTAAAAATAGAAACAAATTAGTGTGTGAGAGAAACGAGAGGACACGAGGGGATCGATATTTCCTAGTATCAGATACAAATAGTCAAAGATGCCGAGTGAACCTATCACCTGAGAAATGCGGTGAGAGTGGTTGCATGAGGGTGATGAAACATGATTTCGTCAGGTCATTTTTGGTCATAGGGAAAGGGACAGCCAATCCTACGTAACAGGCAAAAGGTCAACCATTGGAATAAATTATCAACAAAATGATAAAAAGTTAAGATTTTGCAAGAAGTTTAATATGAATCTTAAACGGTATTTCATAAGTCAAAAGGATAAAGAGGTACAGAAATGTAAGTAAAAATTCAAGTCGCAAATTGATGTTTGTAATTGAAAATTTTGATATAATAACAACTATGGTCAGGGCGGAGCTCTTACACAGGAGTAGTATAAATGCGACGGGGAAAGATTTCTCGTCAGAGAAATTCCGACGAGTTGTCTTCTCTGTTGTATTTATACAGGTAAGAGATTTTTACAAGCTTTTGTAAATAATTTTAATAAAAGCTAAGTCTCAGATTGTTAAGCTTCAGTTGGCTCATTTTCTTTACAGGAAAAGATATTTTATAATGTTTAATATTTCTTGTACTATTTATTGTGTTAAATGAAGTTGTTTAAAATATAAAATGGATTGTAAAAATAAAGAGGAATTCCGACGAGTTGTCTTCTCTGTTGTATTTATACAGGCAAACCAGTTTCCAAGAGGGGTGAAATAAAAGCTTTCGTAAATAATTGGTCACTGGTCAACAGAGGAGTAAAAGAGTTCTTCAGTTGGTTTACCTCTCACTGCGGAATTTAATAAGATCTTGGTGCATAACAAACATATGCATGATCGGCCCAATGTCATTCGGGACTCTGCCTTCCTAAACCTTGACTGGTTGGGAAATAACAAAAATTAAGGCTGGAGTCCAGAATGAGGTTGACCCGGTTATGATACTATCCTAAAAAGTGACCCTAAAAATAAAAAACTTTTTTTCCCAAAGGTGATCATAACTGTACTTGTACGATTTAAATTTGTGAAAATTAAGAAAAAGAAAGAGGGATATGAATATATTCAATGCTTGATTATTAATATTGTCCCTGTTTGAATCTTAAGTCCCTCATCTTAAGATTCAAACAGGGACAGTAGCCAGGTGAATCTCTCACTCCCTTGAACATTCATTGTCTGTTGTTGATTTGTATAGTTTCGCTGTCACATTGCCATTATCTGATTTATAGAAACTTCCGTTTCTGAATCCATTTTTGGCAAACAGAAGTTCACTGTTTATAGTGGTCACGATGTCTTCAGTCCTATCCTCATCATAGGTGACCAGTCATGACATTTTGGGTCCAAATGAGGAATTTTTCAAAAATGAGATTTTTGCTTAATATTAAAGCTTAGGTGTCCAAATATACTACAGTGAAGTTTTACTCTCATTTGCATACTATTTTTAGAATTATGACGTCACAAAGACCATCATATAATTGGGTTATTATGCTGTTTTGTGCAACACTGCAGTTTTTGAGATACTGTTACAGTTCCTTTAAAACAAATGAGTTCTTGGTTAAAAAAATACAATGTAGAACATTTCAACCATTTGATTGTTCAATGTGATCAAATAAATTTAAAGAAACAAGAACACAAAGCTTTGTTTTACATAATAATTACATGTTTTTATCAATTGATGGGTAATGTTGGAAAAAACATTAAAACATGAAAAGATTATGCAAAAATGGCAAATAACAAATTAAAATCTCAATAAGTTTTAACAAGACTAGAAAGATCATAAAAGGTCATATTGAAAAACTAGTTTCTACAATTTGATTTATTGTGTCCAGTCATTTTGCATTTACTGCACTTTCGAGTCAGTGAAGGAGATTCCATCTTGATGATGGGTT